GACCACATCTCAGAGCTCAGAGTTGCGAAAATATCTGAGGCGAGACGGGCTGGACCACCTCGCGCAGGGCATCTCGGAGCCCAGAGTTGCGAGGATGTCTCCAGCGTGACGGGCTGGACCACCTCGCGCGCGGCAGCTCGGACCCCAGAGTTGCGACGATGTCTCGGGCGAAACGTGCTGCGAGGAAGTCTCAGGCGAAACGGGCAGGACCCCCTCGAGCGCGGCGTCTCAGAGCTCCGAGTTGCGGGGCCCTCCTGGGGCCTCCTGGGGCCTCCTGGGGACCTCCTGGGGCTTCCTCCTGGGCCTCCTGTGGCCTCCTGGACCCCACCTGGGGCTTCCTGAAGCCTTTTGGGGCTCCCAGGGGAGGACATCTAACATGTGGCCGTCGGGGCTCCCCAAAACGGGGAAGGGGTCACAAGAGCTGGAAAAATCAACGAATCGACACCAGATGTGTATCAACTTGACACGTTCTGATAGGGGGCCTCCTGGAGAGTCCTGGGAGCCTCCTGGGAATCTCCTGGGGACCCCTGGGGCCTGTCCTGGGCGTCCTGCGGCCTCGTGAAGCTCTCTGGGGCCTCCTGGGGCTTCCAGGGTCCCAGAGGGGATATGTAACATGTGGTCTTCTGTTCCCCCAGGCTGGACCACCTCTTGCGCGGCATTTGGGAGCTCAGAGTTGCGAGAATGTCTTGTGTGAAATGGGCCGGCCCACATCTCAGAGCTCAGAGTTGCGAAAATATCACAGGCGAGACGGGACCACCTCGCGCAGGGCATCTCGGAGCCCAGAGTTGCGAGGATGTCTCAGGCGAAACGGGCCGGACCACATTGCGCACGGCATCTCAGAGCTCAGAGTTGCGAGGATGTCTCAGGCGAGACGGGCTGGACCACCTCGCGCAGGGTCAGAGCTCAGAGTTTGGAGAATGTCTCAGGCGAAACGGGCTGGGCCACGTCGCCCGCGGCATCTCGGAGGTCAGAGTTGCGAGGATATCTCAGGCGAAACGGGCCAGACCACCTCGCGCGCGGCGTCTCGGAGCTCAGAATTTCGATGATGTCTCAGGCGAAACGGGCCAGACCACCTCGCGCGCGGCGTCTCGGAGCTCAGAATTTCGAGGATGTCTCAGACGAAACGGGCCGGACCACCTCTCGCGCGGCATCTCGGAATGCAAAAGTGCGAGGATGTCTCAATTGCAACAGGTCGAACCACCTCTTGGGCGGCATCTCGGGGCTCAGAGTTTGGAGGATGTCTCAAGCGAAACGGGCCGGACCACCGCGCGGCATCAGAGAGTGCAGAGTTGCGAAGATGTCTCAGGCAAAACGAGACGGACCACCTCGCGCACGGAATATCAGGGCTCAGAGTTTGGAGGATGTCTCAGTTTGAAACCGGCGGGACCACCTCTTTCGCGGTATCTCGGAGCCCAGAGTTTCGAGGATTTCTCAGGCGAAACGGGCTGGACCACCTCTTGCGCGGCATGTGGAAACTCAGAGTTGCGAGGATGTCTCAGGCGAAACGCGCCGGACCACCTCGCGCACGGCATCTCAGAGTTCAGAGTTTGGAGGATGTCTCAGGCGATACGGGCCGAACCACCTCTCGCGCGGCATCTCAGAGCTCAGAGTTTGAGGGATGTCTCAGGCGAAACGGGTCAGACCACCTCTCGCGCGGCATCTGGGAGCTCAGAGTTTCGAGGATGTCTCAGGCGAAACGGGCCGGACCACCTCTTGCGCGGCATCTGGGAGTTCAGAGTTTCGAGGATGTCTTACGCGAAACGCCCAATCCGGACAGCTCAGAAGCGAGAGTTGCGAGGATGTCTCAGACGAAACGGCCCAGACCACCAAATTTGTTTGAGGACGTCTCTGCTTTGAATTCCCTCGGCTGGAGTTAGCTTCCATCACAACAGCACCCCATTCAGCAAGCTGCTTGGGGACAAACAATTTTAAAAAATAATATGGATACGATTTTAAGTATCTTTGGGTATCTTTTTGAGCATTCTTCTATTGTTCGTCTAAGAACCCCATGTAGGGGGACCAGGCCCGACCCAAATCTGGGGGGGAGGGCCGCTGCTGCCTCGACCGGGCGCGCCCCTGCTTTTGTTCGAGGCCTCTCGGATCGGGTCCGAGCAGATGGGGTCGAAGGGTCGCGCCGCAATGCCGAAGCATCGCTGGTGCGGCTCGACGTGGAGCCCGATTTTCTCCGCGTTGCCGATGCACCGCGCCGACGTCACCGGTGCATCGGCGACGCATCGGCGATGCGGCTCGATCCTCCGAGCCTCATCTACAACGACCCTATCGAGCGACGGAAGAAAACATAATCGTCCTCACTGGCATTGGCGCGCAAGCTGCCCGCGCAAGATCGCACGGCAGCGCCTTCGTCTGCGTTTCCAGTGCGGCGTGCCGCGCTGGAGGCCCGCGTAGGGCACCGCGCAGGGCCGCTAGATGTAATCTCGCGGAAGGCCCGTTTCTTGTCGTCGCTCATCTCCCAGACCCCCGACGTCGTGATTTGCTGACAACGTCGACCCCCAGGTCTGGACCGGTCTCTCATCCTGAGCTGTTTCTTGACGGCCCCGAGGCCCGGCGAGGGCCCCCAGAGGCCGAGAATAATCCCGCCGTGATTGTTTCACAATGCGAGGGGAGCCTGGGCTGGGAGGCCTCCAGGTAGAGACGATGGCTCGCTCCGCCGCCGCCACCGCCGCGGTGCTCCTCGCCGGCTGCTGTGCGCTCCGCGCGCTGCCGGGCGCCTTCGTGCCCGCTCCGGCGGCGCGGGCGGCGCCGCCGTCCGCCGCGGCCTTGGGTGCCGCCGCGCTCGCGGCGCCGCTGGCCGCACACGCGGAGGGCGATCCGCGGGGAGGGGCGGGCCTTCGGTAGCAGATCATGGGAGCCTCGTATAGCATGTCCTTGACGCTCCGTTTTCAGAGTGCACTCGCGTGCGCTGGCGTCTGGTGGTCGATGATCGGGCGCCGATATTCAGCGTCGGTTCGCGCCGATTTGGCGTCGACAGGCGTCGAGCAGCGTCGGGCAGCGCCGACCCGCAGGAGCCGGCAAGATGGCACGGGAGGCTCCCATGAGTTGCCACAGAAGGGGGCCAACCCCGACCGTATGATTTTGTGGGCTTACCAGCCAGGAACATGTCCCTATCCCTATGCTGGGCACCTCCTCATCACGACGCCAATCTTAATCTTAGGGATCGCCTTATGTTTTGGAGAACGCAGCCCTAAGATTGTCGTCGCCTTTTGGCGTGTCAATCTTAGGGATAGGGATATAAAACAGGGCTAGGATCGGGATAAATCGCTCCAGAGCGTTCCGGAGCGCTCTCAGAGCGTTCCGGAACGCTCTGGAGCGGCCGCGGCGCCCATTACATCCTCCAAACCCGCCGATTCTCAGAGATTTCGAGTTATCCCAATCCGATTTTGTCCTGATCTTCGCGTCGTTTTAGGATACGCTCGAGGCTGGTAGTGGGTTGTCGGAGGCTTCTCGAAGGTCTGCGGAGGTTCGTTCGGGGCACGGGCTGATCTCCGCCGGCTGCGCCTCGTCGCGGGCGCTCCTGGGGCACCCAGATCGTGCCGACCGGCCGCCATCGACTTAAGGCGGCGATGTCCCTTTACAGGAGGAGTATTCAAAAATACAAAAAAAAATCATACTGGAGGAAAAACCCAAAGATCGTATGTTTAGGGCTATGGGGCTATAGGGCTATAGGTTTAAAGGGCTATAGGGCTATAGGGCTGTAGGGCTATAGGGCTTTAGGGCTATAGAGCTATAGGGCTATGGGGATTTAGGGCTATAAGGCTACAAGGCTAAAAGGCTATAGGGCTATAGCCTTATAGGGCTTTAGGGCTATAGGGCTATAAGGCTATAAGGCTATAAGGTTATAAGGCTATAAGGCTATAAGGCTATAGGGCTATAGGGCTATCGGGTTCTTATGGCTAGGGTTATAGGGCTATAAGGCTATAAGGCTATAGGTCTATAGAACTACTGCGCACCCGGGCACCCGGGCGTGCCGCCGAAATCGGCGCCAAACCTCACCTAAGCATATGAATCCGCGAGGACACCTACAGAGGCAAGCTCTGATTGGGAAAATAGTCTGGGGACGCTTCTTTTTTTGTTTTCTGTTTTTTCGTTGCAAAACAAGAACAAACTAGTTTGCGTATTGTTCAATTTGTTTTAACAGAATCCGCCTGTAGGAGGGCATGCCCGATCAAACCATAGACCCTAGTGATGACCCGACAGCCGCGAGGTCCCCAGATCTCCGACCATCTGATCATTTCAATCGGGGCGTGTTTTTCTCGATGCCGGCCTCTGGCAGCCGTTTTGTTGGGCCCCGGCGGCCAGCAGACGTTGATTCCAGGACAAAAAGCACTGCCCCCAGGAACGGCGGGCCGCGCCGTTGAAGAGGTCAGGTTGTCGGATGTTTGGGGGGATCTTCGAGGAGGAGAAGGTACCGATACCGCTGGTCACAGTCAACGCGCCTTGGAAGGACGCGCGCCTTATCGAGGCTGCCCCTTGTGTCCTTGCCTCTGCGGCCCGTCCGTTGCCGTCTCCGCTGGGGTTTTGGTCGCCCGCCGCGCCCAAAAGTCCCAACTTCGGCCTCCAAGGGTCCTGTCTGCGTCCTCACCACCAGTCCTTCGTATGCGTTTTCACTGTAGCCTTGCCTCGCTTCTTCTATTGGTTGGGCCTCCGTGGAGACTCTTGTCGCCGCGGCCGGGTGCGCCTCGGAGCCGTGGTCCGAGCGCGCCCAGTGGGGGAGGTCCGGGAAGTATAGCGGTATATCGGTACCGTGCTGTGGCTCTCGGGAGCGGCGCCACCACCACCACTCGGCATTTCAAGGAGGGGGCCCTGAGGGATTCGGGGGGCAACGTCAGTCAGTATCGTTTCGCCGATCCCCATCCCCATTGGAACGTAGCATCTCAGCCCCACATATACCCCGCGAAACCCGATGGGAACAGCATTTATCCCCATCAAATCGGCCAACGGGGCCAAGGCCACGCCAGTGGGGATAGGGATCGATTAAACGGTGCTCTGTCAGGGGGCGATCATGGTGAGGAGGGGGCGCATCAGCCGCCAATCGCCCATCCATCGCCGATGGGGGCTCGATGGCCCACTCCGCACCCAGGAACGTGGGCATTCGCTGCCGCCGTTGGCGTAAAAATCACGCCACCGGGCATAGTGGACAGCGCTGCTGTGCTCAGAACCCCCGTGCCCCCCAAGTTCAATGTTGAAAGCGGGGCTGCCTTTGGCGGTGGAGCTTTGGGCGTTTTTTTATGCCGATGCTTGCACCCCGACAGCGGCCGCGAACGCAACATTGAAAGGGGGGGTCCGGGTGCAGCACCGTCGACGCAACGCCTGTGGATGGGCTTCACGCCAGCAGCGGCAATTTTCGGGTGGCTATCGCCGAGATCTATCGGCGATGTATCGCCGATTCCAGGTGCACGTTCCCTCCCCCCCTGAGCCTGTTCCCTCTGACGTTCCCCCGAAGGGATGGGGCCCTAAGGACAAGCGGCCAAACGCAGTGAGAGTTCCAGCTTCGGATCCATCGTCCCGTCTTCAGGGCCCCATCGCTCAGGGCCCCAGCTCTGAACCGCGGAGACCGGCCCAGACCTGTTCTCGGAGATGAAAAGCTGAGGCCCGCGCTGGTTTCTTGGATCGGCGCTGGATCCCCCATGGCGGCACCTCGGCGAGCCAGGGAGGGGTGTCCAGCGCTGGTCCTGGAAATCCGCGCGGACCTCCGGAAGTCCATATTTATTGAGGTTCTTTCGGAACGTGAATTACCTACCCCGCTTTCGCTTCCAGGCAAAACCAAGTCATACCACGCGCCTCCTCGTCAAGCGGCCTGACCAGTACAAGCCGTAGTTTGGCATCGCTTGGTTTCTCTTGGAAGCGAGGGTGGTCAAAAGCGAGGTAGGTTTGTTTGCCCCCTATTCTTTTCTGTCCATATTCTACACCACAGGCTTCCACCCTTTCTGGGAGTCCTTGCCGCCACGGCTGGATCCGCCTCGACCTTCTGAGCGAAGCGCACCCCAGGACAGGGCCCTTGGCAACCCTCGGACGTGTGCATTTTTCTTTCGGCGAGGACCATCGAGGAGCATCCTTGATTATTTGGCGAAAAAACCACGCACGAAACCGAAAAAAGCACAGGGAATGGACGTCCGAGCGATGGCCAGGGCCCGATCATCGGTTTCTTGACCCCCGGACACGGGCCTCCTCGCGCCTCGATGCAAAAGCCACGACGGGTGGCACCTTGCCGTTCTTCGGCCTCTGGAGGCCCTTTACCGGGCTCTGGGGCCGTCCAAACAATTGTTCGGGATAAAAAATTTGGTCGTGGAGGAAGACGTGGAGAGGTGGCGAAGTGCACGCCGTGGTAACCAAGAAACAAAAAAAAACACGGCGTCGAGGGTTCGGGGCCACTAGCGGGCCATCCATCTCCAGCGAGTAGGTTCACGGTGCCTCCTCGAGCTGGACGCCGGAGGAGTCTCGAGCGGGGCGCCGCAAGACAGGGGGACCACTACTAACTACTCCTGGAGGGCCCTGCCTGTCTCCTCGCGGTGGTGGTGGTGGTGCCGCTTTTCTTGGCTCCTATAGGCGACGGCGTCTGGATCCCGGCTCTCTCTGCGGTCGACGGAACCAAGGCTATGACGAAATGGTTGACGCCTCGCGTATCCCCACCAGCCCATCCAGAAACGATTGCCAGAAACGCGATCGCACAGCCGTTTTGGAAGCGTCCAAACTGGGTGGGCAGTACCCTGGGGCCAGAAAACAAGGACCACAAATAGCTTCGCGCAATGAAGGTTAGGAGAGGAATCAGTGCAAGATGCGCCACCTGTGGGAAGCGTGTCTGGCGCAGGTTGCTGTATCTACGATCCGACGCCAGTGTTGCGCAGAATAGAGTTTTATTTCGATGGACGTCCTTGAGCTTAGCTCTTCCATTGGTGTGTATCCTAAACCCGCGTGCGGTTTGAAATTGCTCAGGTGCTGTTGCTGCTGCCGGTGCTGCTGCTGATGTTGCTTGCGATGCTCGCGCCGTTGATGTTGTTGCTGCTGTTACTGGTGCTGCTGCTGCTGTTGCTGCTGCTGGCGCTGCTGCTTGTGGTGTTCCTGCTGGTGGTGGCCCTGCTGCTGGGGCCATCTTGGGGTCGTCTTGGGGCCTTTGTGGAGCCCTCTTGGGGCTTTTTGTGGGGGCCTTGGGGCCCTCTTGGCTTTGGGGGGTCTGGGAGGCCTCGTGGGACCGTCTTGGGCCCCATTGTGCAAAAAGAGAGGGGTACCAAATTCACCCATCGGATGCTCAAACATGTTGTTTTGGGGCCCTCTTGGGTAATTTTTCGAGCGCTCTCGGGCGCTCTTGGGGCCGTCTTGGAGTCCTCTTGGGCCCCTCTTGGGGTTCTCTTGGGCCGTCTTGGGGTCATCTTGAGGCCTCAAGAGCACATCGGAGGCGAAACAGCGAGAAGGCAAAAAACATGAATTTGCTTTAGGTGTTTGAATGATTTTGGCCTCTTGGGGGGGTCCTTGGAGGGCTCGGAGGGCACTTGTAGCCCTCTTGAGGCCGTCTTGAGGCCTCTTGGATGTGTGTCGGAGGCTATCTTTAGCCATCTACTGCTATCTTGGGCCATCTTGGAGGCCATCTTGAGCTCTCTGAGGCCCTCTTGGTGCCATCTTTGGCCCAAAAAGGACCCTCTGCCACCTCGCGGGGGAGCCCGTCTAGACCCAGGGAGGGGGGGAGGTAAACCTCCCGAGCAGAGAAAGGAATGAGGTTGGAAGAGGAAACGTCCTAGACCACCTGCGCCCAGAGGGCTGGTGGGATTCGAGGATCAAGTATTTTCATCGCTTCCGGCGTCTCATCCACGGGAAAGTCAGAACTCGATCCGGGGGGGGGAAACGAGCCAGGATGAACCCTGGAGAGCCGCTTTGGGGCCCTTGGAAAGTCAGAAGTCGACCTGGGGTGGAGTTTGACCACGATGGACCCTGCATGGGGTCTGTGGGCCGATCTTGATCGGATTTGGGTCGGGAGGTCCACAAAAAAGAGAAATGCTTACCGATGTCGATGCCCCTCCCTCGCGTGTCGCCTCCACGGGTTTCCGGGGGGGTCCCTAGTCGACACGGCTGGACCCAACTTGGAATTTTGGTCAGAGCGTTCCCCGCGCAGGGTCCGGGTAGCAGCGGCATCGGCATCCTGCTGTTTCCCCCAGGTCGGGGCTGGCTTCGCCATCGGCCTGGCCGCCATCGGCTCGGGGGTCGGCCAGGGCATCGCGTCGGGCCGCTGCATCGACGGCATCTCTCGCCAGCCGGAGGTCGCGGACGACCTGAGGTCAATTTCGTTGAACCTATCAGAACCCCACCATGCCATAGCACCTCAGCCTCACCATCCCACCCCGCAGTTGGGCATAGGCCCCGCGAAACCCGAAACAGCCTATATCCCATTCCGGGGGGGTAGATGGGCCAGTGGAGCCAAGGCCATGCCAGTGGGGATGGGGATCGGTTAAACGATGCTCACGAGGGGCGTGCTCCTCCTGTCGCTGGCCTTCATGGAGTCCCTGACCATCTACGGGCTCGTGATCGCCCTCGTGCTGCTCTTCGCCAACCCGCTGATCAAGTGAGGGCGGGCGAGCCGCTGCGGCTCCATTGCTACGCCGCCGCTGGCGGGCGGGCGGCGGGCCAACGACGGCCCGCCTTTTGAGGCCTTTTTCCCTCGGCACCGGCGCTTCACAGCCCATTCGACCAGCGACCTGTGAGCAAAAATGCCAGGGCGACCCACCTGCTCCGACACTGGGAGCAAATCGCTGTCGTCACCGCCGCCCTCGTCGTACTCTGTTGTCGTCGTCGTACTGTTCTTCGCCGCTGTGATCTTTATCGTCGCCGTCGTCGTCACCGCCGCTATCGTCTTCCCGTCGCCGTCGCCGCCCGCGTCGTCGTCGCCCTCGTCGCCGCCGCTCTCGTCGCCGCCGCCCTCGTCGTCGTCGCCCGCGCTGTCGTCCTCGTCCTCGTCCTCGTCCTCGTCGTCGCCGCAACCCCTGCGCCCTAGAACTGGGACTCCACGGCCCGGCGAGATGGCATTGTGGGCACCATCACGACCAAGTACCGGCGCTGGGTCCCGAGGAGGAGGAGGAGGAGAAGGAGGAGAAGGAGGAGGGGAAGGAAGAGGAGGAGGACAGTAGCAGCAGCAGCAGCAGCAGCAGCAGCAGCAGCAGCAGCAGCCGCGGCACGAGGGCGAGGGCGAGGACGAGGGAAGAGGACGAGGAAGAGCGCGATCAGGCAGGCTTCCTAGGTGGGGCCTGGGTAGATGGGATCGGAGGATCGCGCCGCATCGCCGATGCCTCGGCGATGCATCGGCGATGCGGCTCGGTGTGGGGTCAAACTTCCCCCACGCCGACGTCGCGGGTGCATCGCCGATGCATCGCCGATGCATCGCCGACACCGCGCGAGGTTCCGACCCAATCTGCTCCGACCCCATGTAGGAGGCCTCTAGACCAGGCAGGCCTGGGAGGAGGCTGCGAGGCCCTGGCGGCGGCGCCCGGTGCGTGCCCGGCGCACCGCCGCCCCCCCAGACGGGTCGATGGATCAGTCGGCCACGCGCGGAGGGGGGTGAGGGGGGAAGGCTTCTTAGAAGGAGGCTGCTTCTTAGAGTCTAGGACGAAGAAAACTCCATAAACGTAAACTTGTCGCGCTCCGCGCGGGTTACTTGGATCCGCGCTGGGCCCCCCCTGGCGGCACCTCCAGCGCCGCCCCTGGCGCGCTCCGCGCGCCAGGGAGATGGGCCCAGCGCAGATCCAAGAAATCCGCGCGGAGCGCCAACAGTTTATGTTTATGGCGCTTGTTCTTCTTCTATAGAAGCTACGGGCCTTACATTTGCAGGCAAGGCCCGCGCCTTCTGAGAAGCAGCGGTGCTTCTAAGAAGGCTTCCCCCCTCCCCCTAAAATCCCCTTGTGCGTGCGCGCCGCCAAGCCAGACCCGTCGATAGATCAGGGATGCCTGGCTCATATCGCTCCGATGTCTATCTCCCTTCCCTCCGCCGCCGCCGTGCGCGAGGGGCTCTGAGGATGGCTTCAAGTCGGGCACGTCCTTCTCAAGGGGCCTTCAGACAGAGTCCCAAAATAGTCTTGTGACGATTTTCCGATTCCGTTTGACCATGTTTGGGTAATGGAGGATGACGATTAATAAATGACCGGGGGTCGTGTTCACGCGGCGGCGCCCGGGATGACGATTAGAAAAAACCGACCGCGGGCTGGATTTTTTTTGTTCATCGTTCTCCTCCAGTCAGAAAATTGTGCAGACATATCAGAAAACTATGTTTTAAATCGTTCTCTCCCATCGTTTTTATTAATCGTCATCCCGCATTATGCTTCGGCTGTGTTTTTTCTTCCATCCAGATCTGCCTGCAGGAGGACATGTCCGACCGAAGGATGGCTCCGCAGGGAGCGGCGCTGCGCGATTCGCGCGGCTGCCGAGGATGCCCAGCGGGCGCCCCCTCAGGGGCTCTCCCGCGGCGGCGCGGCGCACGTCACGAGGAGCGCGAGGCACTACGGCGAACGGGGGCGGCGACTGGAGGCAGCTCGCGGGAGGAGGAGGACAACGCGGAGGACAACGAGAGGGGGGGCGTGGGGGAGGAGGGGGAGGAGGAGGAGGGGGAGGAGGGGGGGAGGAGGAGGAGGAGGAGGGGAGGAGGAGGAGGAGGAGGAGGAGGAGGAGGAGGAGGAAGAGGAGGAGCAGGAGGAGGAGGACGAGGAGGACGAGGAGGAGCAGGAGGAGGACGAGGCACGCAGTTCGCTCCGGCACCGGGCCCGTGTTTTCTGGGCAGCCGCCTGGGTCCTGGCGCAAGCGCCGCTCTCCCCGCTGGCGGAGAGAGGGCCAGGGCGAGGCGGAGGATCGGCGATTGCCGGAAGGGTTCGTTGTACGTAACCACATGATCGCGTTCGTGCGTACGTGCGGCCCCGCACTGGCATCTCACGAGCAGAAAGATTCAGGACAACGGCGCCAATTCCCTCCGTGCGATGCGAACCTTCTTGAATTTGGAGGTGGAGGGACCCGAGCATCCCCCCTGCTGTCCCCTCCCCGCCCCTCCCCCCCCTCCGCCCCGCCCCCGCCCCGCCCCTCGGCACGCTTCCTCACGCAGCCCCGCGCACCGTCCCTCGTCCGCCCCCCCCCCCTCTCTCCGCTCATCTTCCCCCTCCCGCTCTTCCTCCTTCTCTCCCTCCTACCTCCCCCCCATTGCCCCTCCTCCTCAGCGCCGCAGCCCAAAGTCTCTTGCACCTCCCCCTTCTGCCACCCGGCCCATCTCTCCGTGTCCCGACCCTGTCCCCCCCCTCCCCTCCTTCGTTTTTTGGTTTCCCTGCCGTGGGTCATGTTTCCCTTGTGTTTGTTGTTTTTAAGTCCCCAAGTGGAAGATGGATTGGAAATGGGGGAGGGCGAGGAGGAAGGAGGATGGGGAAGCGATGGGGAAGGCTGGGAGGACGGGGAGTGGATAAGAGGGAGAGGTCGGAGGAGCGGACCAGAGTTGGACAGAGAGCGGTTCCTTCTCAAACCCTTAGGAGGACCGAAGGGGCGACATACCCCTCCAGTTTGGAGCTGCGTCGACGCGGCCTCCTCCCCCTCGCCCCTGCCCCTCAGGAAGGGACAGGGCGGGGGCGGGATCGGAGGGTGGAGGAGATCAGGAGGGGAACAAAAACACAGGCAAGTTATCGTCGATCCCCAGGAAAAGCAGGGGAAAGCATGGAAAACATGGGAAGTGGGGGGAAGACCTGGGGAGCCCTGGGAGTTGTGTCTACCTATGTGTGTGTGAGTGTGTGTGTGTGTGTGTTTTGTTGTGCGTGTGAGTGTGTGTGTGTGTGTGTGTGAATGTGTGTGTGTGAGAGAGAGACACTGTGGTGTGTGAGAGTGTGTGTGTGTGTGTGAGAGTGTGTTTGTGTGAGAGAGTGTCTGTGAGAGTGTGAGAGTGTGTGTGTGTGTGAGAGTGTGTGTGTGAGAGAGTGTGTGTGCGTGTGTGTGTGAGTGTGTGTGTGAGAGTGTGTGGGTGTGTGAGAGAGAGAGTGTGTGAGAGAGAGAGTGCGTGTGTGTGTGAGATGTGTGTTTGTGTGTGTCTGTGTGTGAGAGTGTGTGTGAGAGAGAGATTGTGTGTGTGTGAAAGAGAGTGTGTGTGTGTGAGAGAGAGGGAGAGTGTGTGTAAGTGCGTGAGTGTGTGTGTGTGTTTGTGTGTGTTTGTGTGAGAGAGTGTGTGTGTGAGAGTGTGTGTGTGAGAGAGAGAGGCGTGTGTGTGAGAGAGTGTGTGTGTGAGAGAGAGTTTGTGTGTGAGAGACAGAGCGTGTGTGTGAGAGAGAGGGTGTGCGTGTGAGTGTGTGTGTGTGTTTGTGTGCGTGAGAGTGTGAGAGAGTGTGTGTGTGTGCGAGAGAGAGAGAGAGAGAGAAAGGGTGTGTGTGTGTGTGTGTGTGTCTGTGTGTATGTGTGTGCATGTGTGCGTGCGCGTGTGCGTCCCGGGGCCCCATCCAGGAGAGGCCTCCCGACCGCCCCGGGGCCCCTTGGGCGCCGCGGGGGGGGGAGGCCGCGGAGGTGCCCGCTCGGCGCGCCTTCGCGGGGCCCGACGCGCGAGGCCCGTTGACCCGGGCTGGGATGAAGTCGGGCATGCCCCCTCCAGGAGGAAGATTCGAGAATAGTCAACAGGAGTAGTCAGGGGACGATTGCTCTACTATTCGGGCTGTTGTTGAGCATTGTTTCATTATGTTCCTGGCATCGCTCGGACGTGTGCATTTTTTCTCGGCGAGGGCCATCGAGGAGCATCCTTGATCATTTGGCGAAAAAACCACGCACGGAACCGAAAAAAACACAGGGAATGGACGTCCGAGCGATGGCCAGTGTTGTAGCGTTTTTCCCAACCCCGCCGGTAGGAGGACATGCCCGACCTAAGGCTGGGGGAAGGGCCGTCGCTGCGGCAGCTCCCGGCCGGCGCCGCGAGGTCTGGGTGCGGGACAAGGAGGCTCCCGAGCGTGCCGAGGACGCCCGGGGACCCCCCTTTGTCTCGGAGGAGGAAGAGGTGCCCTATACCGCTACCCTTCCCTCGTGCTCGTCTTTTTCCGCCTCCTGCGAGGCCCTCGTCGCCACCGCTGGATGCGCCTCGAGATCCTGGCCAGAAGGCGCCCCAGGAGAGGGCCGGGGAGCACCGGTACCGGTACCTTTTGGATTCCTTGCTGTCGGCGGCGAGCCTGCGGGGGAGGTGGGGACGGGCGGGCCTTCTCAGAAGGCTCGGCAGCCCCCGGCCTTCTAGGAAGTTGTCCGAGCCTGCCCCGAAGACGCAGGAAACTTCTCAGCAAGCTGGAGGCCCTCTGAGAAGCTCCGCCGCCCTCGGAGAAGGTCTGCTCCGTTTCACTTTACCCCCTCGCTCGCCGCCGATCAGCCGCCACGCCGGCCTGGAAGTGCAGGGAGAGAAGCTCAGGAGCGAAAGAAGGACGTACATGTACATGAGTTCACGTTGGTTTCGAGAGTACGCATTACGCGAACGGTCGTATCACGCGGCCTGTCTCGCACATTGGGTGACCGTATTCATGTATTCGTGGGTGGGCGCCTGCGTCTTTCGTGGGTCCCGTAGAAGTGCTCGCGTCGTGGAGAAGTCATGACGGGAAGTATTATGTTGGCCGTTCTTGGCCCCTGGGGGCCAGGCCTTTTGTATGCTGCGGGCCATGGGTCTTCGTTTCGGGCGATGGCCACCGGTGATCTTGCACTGTTTTCGGGCCATGGGACCTTCATCGATCCGGCTCGACAAATAATGCAGAAAGTTTGGGTCCAGGGCTCTGGTCGATTTCTCGAGGCGTCGGACGTCAGGGATGCTCGCGTCGTGGAAGAATCATGACGGGCGAATTGTTTTTGGCCGTTTTCAGTCCTTGGGGTCTTTTGCCGGGCCCCGGGGCCGTCAAGAAACCGCACGGGATGGAGAGCCTGCCTCGGGGAGAGGGTCGTGACGTCCAGGGGGGCACGTGTGCAGAGAGAAAGTCAAGGCGTCGCATGTCTGGGAGGGCGGCCCCGCACAGCAGCGTGCCCCCGGTGAGCCAAAAGGCCTGGTCCATCCTCCGCAGGGGGCACCTGAATTATGTTTGCTTCTAGGCACCCACGAGCTCGCCGCAGACCTCACGGCTGACAGCTGCCCGAACCTCTCCATGGCGGTGCTGGACGAGGCAGGCCAGTCCACTGAAGCCCTGGCCATCACTTCCAATGGCCTCGCGGTGCGGACTGGGGGCCGCCCCGCGGTCTGCGGGGACCAGAGCCAGCTCCCGCCCACGGCTCGTCCGGCGCGCCGAGGCCATGGGCATGGGCCCGTCGGTGCTCAGTAGGCTCCATGCCTCACCCGGCCCCTGCGACCACGACGACGTGCTCCTGGGCAGGTGCCACGAGGTGCACCCATCCCTGCTGCAGTGGGCCTCGGACTGCTTCTACGACGGTCCGCTCCCGGGAGGGCCGACAGACCCGGCCAAGGGCAGAGACCCATGCTCCGAGGCACGGGCCTCAACCGGCGCCCGGCCACCCCGCTTTCTCCCCAGGACTCCGAGCAGGCCTGCGCCGCCCGCGGGAGCCCACCCGACAGCCCGACCCTCGGCGCTGACAAGTGGCGCAACCCCGCCCACGGCGCGCAGCTTGGCGGCCACCTGCGGGTACTGCTCGCCCACACTGACTCCGCCGAAGCCTCCTGCAACCACGTGGAAAGCACGGCGAACATCAGGGAGGCCGCGGTTGTGTGCGACTCGGTTGCCGCAGCTGCCCCTGACCTAATCGCTCGCAACAAGCAGCTCTTCGTCATCACAGGCTACCGTGCCAGCATGGTGGCGCTGCGCCACGGCCACCCGCTCCGTCCCGGCGCCTTCCTCGAGGCATATCACGACCGGCGCCAGGGCAAGTCCACTGGCAAAGGATCAACGCCCCCCAGCACACCTCGCGGAGGCAGAGGCGGCTCCCCGGGTCCTTGCGAGTCCGCCTACCGCCAGCGACCGACACAGCAGAACGGACTCCTGCACGCCTTCTCCGCGCTCGAAGCGCGGTGCCCAGATCTCTCCGCCAAGAACATCGTCAGCATCAGCTCCGTCGACGGGTGCCAGGGTGACAAGGCAGCGTTGGTCATCTTCTTCACCACCCCCGCGATCCCGACCAACGAGTGGGGGTTCATGGACGACGCCCGACGCACCAACGTCGCCATGACAAGAGCCCAGGAAGGCCTCATCGTCGTCATGAACGGCAAGATGCGCAAGGCAGTTGGCGAGACCCAGTTCAACACTCTCGCCGACTGGGTCCTGGACGCAAGCGCCTGGATTTCATACAGGCACTAAGAGGCCGCAGGCACCTGGCACAGGCTCGACGGGCACACGGCCTTCGACCACTGGCAGCTCCAGAACGGATGGGCAGACAGCGCAGTCAGCCCCGCGGAGACGAAGGCGATACTAGCTGAAGGCAAGCTCAAGGCCTGGTTCAGGCAGAAGCGAAAGGCACGAGAACAGCAAGCCCTGGGCTTCGCCACCGTCTACGACACCCCGCTCCCGGACAACTTCGATGGGGACGGGCTGGGTGACGACCTGGCCGCTGGCGTTGCCGCCCTGCTGGCAGACCCGGCCTTCTTCCCGGTCCTCAACTATGTCTTGGGCCTGCACCAACACCTGCACGGTCTGAGGGGCGCCCCGGCCAACCTCCACGAGCACAGCCGCAAGTTGGTCAGCCACGACGGTTACCTTTTCGATCTTGAGCGGGGGGTCGAAAAGACCAACTACGTCTACACGGCAACCTGGACGCGCCTCGCTTACATGGCCGGCCTTCAGGCCACATGCCGGGACGCTCGCGTCGCCCCTGAGCACAGGCTCGCCGAGTAGCCACGAGTTACGCGCCGGAACAAATGGCAACCACGGCAGGAGAGCACAGTCACCGCCAACGCGCCCCGCAGGCCGCCGGCCGCTTGGAGTGGCACCGCGTGCTCCTGGCCCCCGGCACGGCGCCCCGCCCGACGCCAGCTACTTCACCGCCCTGCTTCAGGCCCACGGCCGCCAGCCCTAACCGCGCAGGCAGTTCTTCCAAGGACCTGACGGACAACCGCTGCCCAGCGCCTGGGCGATGAGCTCCCTGGTCATGATACTCTTCGTGGTCTGCGAGCCCAAGCCTCCCAATGCCCCATATTCCAAGCCTGGCCAGATCGGAGACGTGCTGGAGGCTGTTCTCGGCATGTGCCATCCAGGCTACGATTGTTCGATGCCGTTGTGTCGTCGGCTGTATTAAATGGGGCTGGCACGTGGGCTTTGACGGCGGCGAGGGAAGCAAAGCTTCAGACAGCACTGAAAAATTGCTTCGGACAACCATTGCGGCACAACCTATGCGGGCAAGTGCTGCGGGAGGGGTGGAGGAGTCATGCGTTGATTGGATCTCCCGCGCAACGTATAAGGCTGTGGCCGAGCTCGACAAAGCAGGCCCGCGCACACCAGTGCAGTCTCACAGGGCCCGTAAGCGAATCCTGTTGCGGAAGACCATAGACAGCGCCGACGGTAAGTGGTCGAAGGCCGTGCTCAATTGGACGCCGAGCGGATTGCGAGCGCCAGGCCGGCCCTTTGAAACGCTGGTCAAATGACGTCAACATGTGATAATATTTTGCGAGAAGTGTTTGTGATCATCGTGTGAGATGTGGTTGTGGGAAGCTTGTGATAAGGAGCTGTGAGAGCAGGCGACGCACTGGCAGCCCGCGGGGGATCGCGTTTTGGCGCGCGCCAGCACCCTTGCACCCTTGCGCCCTGGCGACATCACGTTTCTGGTTGGGACAAGCTTGTTTTCAAACCTCGGGCTTATGTTCTAAGAACGATATTGTTGTTGTGTTCCGAACATTTTTGGGTTCTAAGAACATGTCGTGGTAGGCCTATAGGAATGCGGGACGGTCCGCCCCTGCTCCATATTCGAAGAACAAAAAACGGCATTGACATAAACTTGCGGGTCTCCGCGCGGATGTCTTGGATCCGCGCTGGGCGCCCCTGGCGGCGCTTCCGGCGCCGCCCCTGGCGCGCTTGGGCGCGCCAGGGAGGGGGTCCTGCGCAGATCCAAGAAACCAGCGCGGAGTGCCCAAAGTTGATGTTCATGCAGTTGTTAATTCGTCTTCGTATTATGATTATTGTTATTATTATTACTGTTATTATTATTATTATTATTATTTTATTTGTATTATTATTATTACTCTTAGTATTCTTATCATTAGTATTATTATTCGTAGTATCATTATTAGTGTTTTTCTTATCCTTATTATTCTTATTCTTCTTATTACCAATATTATTATTATTATTCTTATTATTCGTATTATTATTATTATGTTTCTTCTTATTATTATTATTCTTCTTCTTCTAGCGATGGACTTCGCGTTCTGTGTGGTTCCCGCGTCTGTTGGCCTTTCCCGCGTACTCCTCCGCCTTCTGTGCCCCAGTTCGTTCCCGGCGCGCCCCGCCAGCAGCCCGACCGGCGCCTGCACTAACCTCGATTCGCTTACGCCCGCTGTGTTAGCACGTGCGCCCCCCCGTCGCCGTTAGTTTTTTCGGCCGGTCGACTTTGCAGCCTTTGGCCGAGGTTCCCGCAGCGTACAGATCTGGGCACGAGCTGCCGGCGACGGATCGGTTTGCATTGCGCAGTACGCCTACGAGATGCCATCGGGGTCACCTTCGCCGAGTGATACAAAAGGCTTCGCCGAAGACTCGTTGGGTTTTTCCGTCCGAGGTTTTCGGAGCTGGCCAGGGGCATCTCTCTGCAAGGCGATCGTCGGACTTCGCCACCCGGGCTGGAGAACACGGTTTTAGCCCAGCTCGAAATCTTCAATGCACGTTTCTTTCTGGTGCTTTTGCAGAGTGCAGCAGTAAGTGGATCGCAGGTTGCTCAGCCAATTCCGCGGCCCACCGTCGCCGGACATCATTTTCCAAAAGGCCGCACAGAGCCTTGCTAGAGCCGACTTGCATGCCGTCGACCTGCCCTTCGGTCGCGGGCCGCAGCGGAAAGCGTCCATCGGAGGCTTGTCCCTCCCGGACGCTCCAGTCGCCCCGCCCTCCTCGAGAGTCGCGATGTCGGCAGCCCTTCCACCGCGCGCGCCAGCGGCGCGCTGGCGGCGCCGCGTGAGGGCGCGGAGCGTCACGCTGTCGGGCGGCCGCCGGCCAAGGGGGCGGGACCTCGGCCGCAAGGGCCGCGCGCCCCGCCGCGGGCGCCTAGCACAGCGCCCGGCTGGGCCCTCAGCGCCCCGCAGCGTGCGGCGCGCGGCCGCGTGAGCCGACGCTGCGACGCACGCCCCGCGGGCGGCCGCAAGCGCACTCGCCGGCAGCAGCGGTCCTGGGCGAACGGGGCGACGAGCGGCGCCTTGCGGCCAGAGGTGATGTGTGTGTGTGTGGGGGGGTGTGCGTGTGCGTGTGCGTGCTCGTGTGCGTGTGCATGTCTGTGTATGTGTGTCTGTGTGTGCGTCGGTGTGTCTGTGTATGTGTGTGTGTGTGTCTGTGTGTCTGTGTGTCTGTGTGTGTCTGTGTGTGTGCCTGTGTGTGTCTATGTGTGTGTGTGTGTGTCTGTGTGTGTCTGTGTGTGTGTTTGTGTGTGTGTCTGTGCGTGTCTGTTTGTGTTTGTGTGTATGTGTCTGTGTGTGTGTGGGTGTCTGTGTCTGTGTGGGTGTCTGTGTGTGTGCGTGTGTGTGTGTGTGCGTGTGTGCGTGCGCGTGTGTGAGTTCGGCTTGGGCGTAGACGCGCGCGTTCCGCTGTTTGCACTCGAGTTTCTACGCCCCGTCGCCGCACGAGGGCCGTGACGCCAAAAGTGTGTGTGTGTGTGTGCGTGTGTGCGCGTATCCCCCCCCCCGCCCGTTCCCCTTCGCGATTGCCTCTTCACGAGTGATGCATGCTGCGCGGCCCCTTACTGGCGGACCCGGGGCTGGCCCGCGCGTTCCGCGTCCCTCTGAACTTCGGCTCCGCGGCACCGCCGCTTGGCCGTGGCGCCACGCGAGTGCGCGCATGCGTTCGCTGCTTGGGTGCGCGCGCGGCGTAATTATGGAGCCTGAGGCCGCCAGCATCACGCGCGAGGCGTTACCAGCTCTGGGCGCGGCTGTTTTGTTTGTGTGTCCCTCCGCGGTCGGGGACGATGCTTTTAACTATGTTGGGTTATGTGTGCATGTGTTGACCATGTGTTGTGATTCTTCAAAGAATCGCCTCTCGGTTTATGATGCTCCAAGTTGTTTTAGCCTTGACCACCTCGAGCCCCAAGGACAAGCCTAAGCTTGTGGTTGTTCACGTGTCGGGCCTTGGGAGGTGATGTTTGTTCGACACTGGTTCGATATTTTCTTGGGTGATCCAGAATATTTTTGAAATGTAGTCTTAAGTACGATGGGAGCAACATAGCTGTAGGTGGACATGCCCGACACGCCTGCGACGCTAGAAGGTTTGGAGGCCGAAATGAAGGAGCAGCGCCAGCATCCACAAGCATTATGTCGGGCTTGTCCCTCTACAGGAGGAGTATTCGAAAATAGTCAAACCATAGTCGGGGCACGATGTTTTGACTATGTTTGGCTAGTATTGTGTATTTATGTCGGCTGTGTTTTCGTCATTCCAGAATCCGCCTGTAGGTGGATGTGCCCGGCCTAACGCCAGCATCCGCACAGCATCCCGGATCGCCGAGGGTCGACGGGAGCCCCTCCCGCCGGGGGGTGCCAAGAGGGGTGTGAGGACTAGGGGTGTGGACATTATGGCGGGGGCCATGAGATCTCCCCAGACATCATAGCGCCTCCTCTCCTGTTTTTCATCGCCCCCCCCCGCTTGGGCCGCGCACATGCCACCTGCCATGATTTGCGCCCCCCCCCCTTCCCTCTCCTCCTCCTCCTCCTCCTCCTCCTCCTCTTTCTCCTCCTCGCTTCTCCTCCTCCTCCTCCTCCTCCTCAACCTCCTCCTCCTCCTCGCTCCTCCTCCTCCTCCTCCTCCTCGCTCCTCCTCCTCCTCCTCCTCCTCCTCCTCCTCCTCCTCCTCCTCCTCCTCCTCCTCGCTCCTCCTCTTGGACGCCCCCCCCTCTTTGGCCGCCCCCGACGACTTATACCAGCCACGGGAGGGGGCCGCCCAGGCCAATCCCCGGCCGCCGCCGCCGCGCGTGCTGCAGCGGTGGTTGATGCCGATCGAGGCGCTCGCGCCGGTCGCCCTCGCGTTGCTCCAGCAGTGGCGAAGCGTCCTGGCTCGCTTATAGGCCGGGGCTGTCTTGTTTTACACATCGGGTTCATGTTCTAAGAACGTTGTTATTGTTCTTAGAACATTTTCGGGCTCTGAGAACATTTCGTGGCAGGCCTATAGGAATGCCTTGACGGTCGGTCCCTGCTCAAGCGTCTCTCCCAGACCCCCCAGGTAACAGGGCTGATTTCGACTCCTCCGAATCGATTCGAGTCGATGTCGGTGGCTTCCGATTCTTCCGATTCGATGCGAGTTCGGATTCCGATGTGGATTCCAATGTCTCCATCGAGGTCGACTGGCCTGTCAATTTCCGCCGATTCGACTTCTCCCGACTCGGCTGCCGATGTTCGCTGATCCGATTTATTTCGATCGCCGATCCGACTTGTCGATTCGACTCTCTGCTCTCCTGGGCAATGGAAAAGTCACGACGGGAGGTGTTTTGTTATTTTCGGCCTCTGGGGACCCTTACCGGCCCTCGGAATCGTCAGAAAACGATTCTCGCAGGCCCAGAAGTTGACACCAATACCAACATCGGCGGTGTGCTTCCACCGAAGGAAAAAGATCCCGATCTCGGTGCTGGTGGTAAGATTCCGACTTCCAAGGTGGCCGAAACATTACCACCAACGCCGAAATCTAGGATCATCCTGCCCCTGTGGAGGCCACCCCCTATGTTGGTGTTGGTGTTAGGTCGGGCATGTCCCCCTGCAGGCGGATTTTGGGCGAAAGCTCAAAAATACATCAGAAAAAAATAAGATTACCCAAACAGAATCCAGAAATGCGCACAATATAGCCCCTGGACTATTCTCTGACTGTTTCTGAATATTCCCCTCGTAGAGGAACAGGCCCGACTTCGTGTTGGTGCTCAGTTCCAGACCTCCGAGACTCAGGATGAAGAACGGGTCCAAGGGAACGGGTCGAGACCTCCGGGAGTCTCGACGTCATGAAACAAACAACCATGGCGTCGGGGGTCTGGGCTCGCCTCGCCACCTCCAGAGGCGGCTGATGCTAAGTCGGGCGTGTCCCTCCACAGGAGGAGTTATCCAAAAGACTACACAAATACGCTGGGGACGATGTTTCTACTATGTCTGTTAATTTTCGAATAATTCTTGGCGGCTTCAATTCTTCGCCCAAAATCCGCCTCTAGGACGACATGCCCGACTTAAGGCTGATGCCGATCGAGGCGCTCGCGCCGGTCGCCCTCGCGTTGCTCAAAGTGGCGAAGCGTCCTGGTTCGCCTATAGGCCCAGCAACGAGTGTTCTACGAATTTGGTGTGGCTTGCACGAGAGGTTCTTACAACATTGTCTGGCCGAGATTATCCTGGTTTAACGCATCGGGTCTGAGTTCTCAGACATGTTTTCTTCTTAGAGCATCTTTGAGTTCTAAGAAGATATCGTGATAGGCCTATCAGAATGCCAGGACCGTCGGTCCCTGAAAAAAACATGACGGGAGTTGTTTTTTATTTCTTTCTGTTGTTGGGGGCCCGTGCCGGCTCTCGGGGCCGCAAAGAATCGATTCAGGACGAAGACTTCGTCCAGGGGAATTGGTCGAGACCTCCAGGGGTCGACGTTTCGTGGCAGAATTTCGAGGGGAGCCCAGTCGTGGCGACGAAACGCTTCACAGATGCCCTAAAACACGCCACAACATCCAAAGACCTGGATCATCGACCCTCCAATCCCGTTTCCCCACTGGTCAGAATCCGCTCAAGATCTGTCCTCAGACCCCTCCCGAGGTCCATCCTCACAAGCTGCTCTTTGCGGCCGATTCCAGGCTACACGCCCGTTGCATGGCCCCCCAGCCCCGGCGAGAACCTTCGGCCTCTGGCTCACGGGCGTGATCTGGTCATGCGCGGCAATGCTCGAGGCCCTTTTTTCAGACTAGACGCGTACATTGAGCAAGGTGGGACGTTCAACCTGCAGGCCTTGGTGTACCAGGCTACGGCGTGGCGATGGAAGGTTGTGTTCGGGGCCCAGTGGGACGGCCGCATGTGCCTGGGGTGCGCAGAAAGTGTCGTCAGGCTGCTGGCCGTCAATTACGTTCCGCGCGACCCTGCGCCCCACGAGAACCGTTCAGGTCGAGAGCGGTGCATGATGGGCTATAACGGCGTGTATGCAGAGTACTGGGGGCACGCGTTGGGTCGTTGCGCGCAGCACGTTATGGCCAATCGTTTCAAGGGTTTGCAGGATGGCACAGTGCCTACAAGCGACGAGGCGATGTTACCGCATCAGGAAACTCAGCCGATAGTGAATCTCAGCGCTGCGGTCATGCGGACTTTCGCACAGAAAAGCACTATATCGGAACTGCGCCAGGACTGAGGCTGGGCATCAGGCGGTTTCAGGCACGTGCTGGGGCGTGCTTTTATTGATAACGGTGGCGCTGCTTTTCTGCATGCTAGATGCCATTCGGGGTGCTTCAAGTCAGCGGCGTGTCGTATCGGCTGAGCCTGGTCATGGAAGGCACTTCATCAGTTATCGGGCCAGGGCATGTGGCATGTTGGTCGCTACAGCAATGTATCATGCTTCATAGACGGGTCTCGGTGCTTGGCAGTGGCTGGCGGCCAGTGGAACGGCCCTCCATCAAGTAGTTCGCTGCGATGGGTGTATGCTGCATCAGTTTCAGGGGCGGCCTGGTATTCCGCGAATGGAGTCAGTTTCGCCGGTTGTGTAATTCTGGCGTTCGTGCTTGTACGGCGGCAAGGCGGCTGGTTATGTTCATTTTCGCGTTTCGCATGGTGCGCGCAGCGGTCGCCATGTTAAGGCATCGTGCTGCGATCGGCCTTTGCGAAGCGTGGGCAGTGGCGCTAGAATTCGGAGTACGCTGTGGTGTGCTTGTGGAACCCATGGTAGGGTCCATTGATGGCCTTGCGTCTATGGGACAGGCCGTTGGGTGGCACTCGCTTGGGTTTTTTCTCCGAATGTTCGGTGGTGTTGGCAGCAAGTTGTGTTCGATTCCTTGGCGTGCCCACCCATGCGTCGCATCTCCTTGTTCGGCATGGTCGTCTTATCAGGCTTCCGCGTGGGCTTCTTTGCAGTGGACTGGTGGTGCGAACATGGGGCCAGGCCTTCCCCTGTCATTGGAGGCAGCGTGTCCATCCAGTGGTTCTGAGGCTTCGGGTAACGCGTTGCAGGGTACGCACAAGTGCCGTCCATCAGCGGCGCCGTGTATGTCTTACAAGTTTGTCTGGTGCTGCTAATCGGTCCTGTTCTGCGTCGGCAGGTACGTCAATTGGCCTTGGGCAGTTGCAAAACAGCTGCAGGATATTAGAATACAGCGTGCAGGGTCTTGCCGTTTCAGAGCGGGTTGCTTTGCTTGTTTCACCAGCTGTGATCTGTTGGTGGGTATTCTGCCCTCCTTGGTGTTCGGAGGGCCAGGGGTCCGCCCTTGTGGCTCACCTCCTGCTTCTATTGATAACGGTGGCGCTGCTTTTCTGCATGCTGGATGCCATTCGGGGTGCTTCAAGTCAGCGGCGTGTCGTATCGGCTGAGCCTGGTCATGGAAGGCACTTCATCAGTTATCGGGCCAGGGCATGTGGCATGTTGGTCGCTACAGCAATGTATCATGCTTCATAGACGGGTCTCGGTGCTTGGCAGTGGCTGGCGGCCAGTGGAACGGCCCTCCATCAAGTAGTTCGCTGCGATGGGTGTATGCTGCATCAGTTTCAGGGGCGGCCTGGTATTCCGCGAATGGAGTCAGTTTCGCCGGTTGTGTAATTCTGGCGTTCGTGCTTGTACGGCGGCAAGGCGGCTGGTTATGTTCATTTTCGCGTTTCGCATGGTGCGCGCAGCGGTCGCCATGTTAAGGCATCGTGCTGCGATCGGCCTTTGCGAAGCGTGGGCAGTGGCGCTAGAATTCGGAGTACGCTGTGGTGTGCTTGTGGAACCCATGGTAGGGTCCATCGATGGCCTTGCGTTTATGGGACAGGCCGTTGGGTGGCACTCGCTTGGGTTTTTTCTCCGAATGTTCGGTGGTGTTGGCAGCAAGTTGTGTTCGATTCCTTGGCGTGCCCACCCATGCGTCGCATCTCCTTGTTCGGCATGGTCGTCTTATCAGGCTTCCGCGTGGGCTTCTTTGCAGTGGACTGGTGGTGCGAACATGGGGCCAGGCCTTCCCCTGTCATTGGAGGCAGCGTGTCCATCCAGTGGTTCTGAGGCTTCGGGTAACGCGTTGCAGGGTACGCACAAGTGCCGTCCATCAGCGGCGCCGTGTATGTCTTACAAGTTTGTCTGGTGCTGCTAATCGGTCCTGTTCTGTGTCGGCAGGTACGTCAATTGGCCTTGGGCAGTTGCAAAACAGCTGCAGGATATTAGAATGCAGCGTGCAGGGTCTTGCCGTTTCAGAGCGGGTTGCTTTGCTTGTTTCACCAGCTGTGATCTGTTGGTGGGTATTCTGCCCTCCTTGGTGTTCGGAGGGCCAGGGGTCCGCCCTTGTGGCTCACCTCCTGCTTCTATTGATAACGGTGGCGCTGCTTTTCTGCATGCTGGATGCCATTCGGGGTGCTTCAAGTCAGCGGCGTGTCGTATCGGCTGAGCCTGGTCATGGAAGGCACTTCATCAGTTATCGGGCCAGGGCATGTGGCATGTTGGTCGCTACAGCAATGTATCATGCTTCATAGACGGGTCTCGGTGCTTGGCAGTGGCTGGCGGCCAGTGGAACGGCCCTCCATCAAGTAGTTCGCTGCGATGGGTGTATGCTGCATCAGTTTCAGGGGCGGCCTGGTATTCCGCGAATGGAGTCAGTTTCGCCGGTTGTGTAATTCTGGCGTTCGTGCTTGTACGGCGGCAAGGCGGCTGGTTATGTTCATTTTCGCGTTTCGCATGGTGCGCGCAGCGGTCGCCATGTTAAGGCATCGTGCTGCGATCGGCCTTTGCGAAGCGTGGGCAGTGGCGCTAGAATTCGGAGTACGCTGTGGTGTGCTTGTGGAACCCATGGTAGGGTCCATCGATGGCCTTGCGTTTATGGGACAGGCCGTTGGGTGGCACTCGCTTGGGTTTTTTCTCCGAATGTTCGGTGGTGTTGGCAGCAAGTTGTGTTCGATTCCTTGGCGTGCCCACCCATGCGTCGCATCTCCTTGTTCGGCATGGTCGTCTTATCAGGCTTCCGCGTGGGCTTCTTTGCAGTGGACTGGTGGTGCGAACATGGGGCCAGGCCTTCCCCTGTCATTGGAGGCAGCGTGTCCATCCAGTGGTTCTGAGGCTTCGGGTAACGCGTTGCAGGGTACGCACAAGTGCCGTCCATCAGCGGCGCCGTGTATGTCTTACAAGTTTGTCTGGTGCTGCTAATCGGTCCTGTTCTGTGTCGGCAGGTACGTCAATTGGCCTTGGGCAGTTGCAAAACAGCTGCAGGATATTAGAATACAGCGTGCAGGGTCTTGCCGTTTCAGAGCGGGTTGCTTTGCTTGTTTCACCAGCTGTGATCTGTTGGTGGGTATTCTGCCCTCCTTGGTGTTCGGAGGGCCAGGGGTCCGCCCTTGTGGCTCACCTCCAGGGGTTGAGAGGCTGGTGGCGTTGCTACTAGGAGGATTTCTGGCACTTTCAGGTGGTGGTTCAAGATGGAGTTGTTGGTGGGAATTGTTCCTTCCTCGGTGGTCGGCGAGCTAGGGGCGTCGCCCTTGTGGCTCACCACCAAAAGTTGAGCGGCTGACGCTTCAACACATTTCTCAGCGGTGCTCGCTTCTGGCGGCGCTGGTATATTGTAGTGGCCTTCGGCCAGTGCCGCCGATCCGGGGCGCTCCGACTGATGTGATCCTTCTTCGCCCTCGTCCCTCCTCTCTTTTTCCCTCCCCTCCTCTCACTCAGCATTTATCCAGTGGCCGTCGGCCTATCCCGCCACCGTGCGTGGGTGGTGGGTCAGAGGCCTCATGGATGCTGGTTGGGATCTCGTGGTTGGCTGGGACTTTGGGGGGCCTCTTGGGCGCCTCTTGGGGCTTCTTGGGGGCCTCTTGGGCCTCTTGGGGCCACTAGAGGGCCTCTTGGGGGTCTCTTGGGAGCCTCTTGGGGCTTCTTGGGGGCCTCTTCTGCGACCCTTGGGGCCTCTTGGAGGCCTCCTCGGAGCCTCTTGGTGCGGGAGGGGTGGTACTCGAGTTCAGAACCCCCTCGGAGGCCACGATCCTTGTGAGGGGTGTCAAAAAACGCATCCGCCGGAAACTCGCACCCCCCCCCCCCACCCCCCCTTCCCCGGCAGAGCCACCCCGGCAACCCCCCCAGAGGCTGAGGCTCAGCCTCGAGGCTGTAGCTGAGACTCCTTGAAACTCACACGCCAGATCGGCGGATTTAGCTGTCTCTGGAGTTTGGCAACCCTTTCTTATTTCCGTGTGCCTGGCTCAATGGCTTCCCCCCCCCCCCCCCCTATTTTGCGCTCAATGGCTTTCAGAGTATGGTGCATAGTGTCGCAGCAGTACATGTTTGGGATCGGGCTTGTCGTTGTTCTGGGGTGGAGCGCGCGCGCTGCTACTCTGTGTGGGCCCCGCGTGCCCCATGCAGGCCTTCTCCCTGTGCAAATCCACTTCTCGTATTGGCTGGCATACGCAGCACCGACGGCTTGGGTTTAATATCCCTCGTTCGTTCACTTGATGTTCAAGTTGTCCGATTTGTTCTCGTTGTTCTGTGCGCTGGAAGTCGCACCTTCTGCAGTCCGTGGAGGTGCATGCAATCTGGTGTGAGCTGGTATGTCTTCATGGATGGAAGTTTATACGGGGGGGCGTGCGCAACCTACACACAGGCCGCTCTTGTACGGGGAGCTCAGGGGCGGTGTTGTCACTTTCATTGACACCGTCAAGCTGCTATTTCTATTCCTATTCCTCCTCCTCCTCCTCCTCCTCCTCCTCCTCCTCCTCCTCCTCGTTCCTCCTCCTCCTCCTCCTCCTCGCTCCTCCTCCCCCTCCTCCTCCTCCTCCCCCTCCCCCTCCTCCTCCTCCTCCTCCTCCTCCTCCCTACCTCCTCCTACCCCTCCTCTTCCTCCTCCTCCTCCTCTCTCCTCCTCCTCCTCCTCTCCTCCCACCTCCACCTCCCTCCTTCTCAGCTCGCCGCCCCGCCCGGAAGCGGTCCGTAATCGGAGATTCCAGGGCATCTCGATCGCGGCCGTGAAGGTTGCCCCGTAGGAAGCGTCTTGTCCATTCCATGGCCATCATGGCGCCCGCAGATAGCATGGGGCAGTTCATTAGTAAAACAGGGCTAGGATCGGGATAAATCGCTCCAGAGCGTTCCGGAGCGCTCTCAGAGCGTTCTGGAACGCTCTGGAGCGGCCGCGGCGCCCAATACATCCTCCAAACCCGCCGATTCTCAGAGATTTCGAGTTATCCCGATCCGATTTTGTCCCGATCTTCGCGTCGTTTTACGTCAGGAGGTTCAGGACTCGACGGCAGACGCCATAGGCTCCTTGTGGCAGGGTCTCTTGCAGTCGACCTGCACGGTAAGGACGGGCAACCAACCTTCCCGGGGGTACCCTCGCATCCTTCCTTCCTCGGTCCAGCCTTGGCCACTCTCGTCGGCCGCGCCCCGCTCGAAAAGCTTTCAAACGGCCTTCCAAGGCCCTTGCATCCTTATCGCGCGGCCTTATGACGCGGGTTGACTGTATAGTGTGTCTCCCGTACGGCGTGGGCGTTCCTTACGGAATGTGCCCAAGAGGTTTCAGATTTTGGATGGTCCATCTATCGAATGAGGTTTGCGGCGATGTCCACGGCCAATCCGCGACTGGAGTTCCGCCAGCCTCCAGACCCTGGACTCCTTATCCAATGGTTCTTCGTTCAGTGCCCTCACTGTGCAAATGTCTGATACCTAGTTAGGCCTACCGAATGGGTTCCGAGAAGATGGGGTCGAAGGATCGCTCTGCACCGGGTCCGAGTAGCTGGGGTCGAAGGATCGCTCCGCGTCGACGATGCATCGACGATGCGGTTCCATGTGGAGCCCGTATTTCTCCACACCGACGTCGCCGACGTATCGCCGACGTCGCCGATGCATCGCCGATGCACTTGCGATGCGGCGCGACCCTCCGACCCCATCGTTTCGGACCCCATGTTGGAGGCCTCTTTGATGGCAAGATCTCGCACCGTATGTGTCTCCCGCACCTTCAGGCTGAGGAAGCGAAGATTGAGAGGAGGAGGAGGAGGAGGAGGAGGAGGAGGAGGAGAAGGTGGAGGAGGAGGAGGAGGAGGAGGTGGAGGAGGAAAAAGAGAATGAGGAGGACTCGAGGGACAGAGGCAGTGCACGAGGATGCCGTCTCGTGGCGGACTGCAGGGCCGCTTTTTGCCCGCGATCCTGAGGCGCTGGCCTTGCAGGGCTTCCCGCTGGGCGACGAGCTCCTGCGCGGGGCCCTCTCCGGGCTCAGCGACCAGGACGCCGCCGCGGTAACCATAAATTTTTGGCGCTCCGCGCGGATTTCTTGGATCCGCGCCTGGGCCCCCCGGCGGCGCCTCTGGCGCCACCCCTGGCATGCTCCACGCGCCAGGAAGGGGGAATCCAAGAAATCCGCGCGAAGCGCCAAATGTTTATGTCTATGTGGTTGTTTCTTTTTCTTCTTCTTCTTCTAGAACAATGCACGAGGAATGGGCGTCCGAGCGATGGCGAGTTGGGGGGGGGCCCTCTGTGCGGGCGTCGCAGGTGACAGACGGCATGACGCCCCGTCCTGGTGTGGTCGTCGACGGGGTCGAAAGGATCGCGCCCAGCCCGGGGGCACGCGATGGGGGGACGCCCGCCCTCGACGGCGCTGCGTCCGAAAAACACCCCCTCTCTGCGCGGGCGCCTCCTCTCTGGAGCGGCGCGTGCTTGCTGGAGGGGGGGACCTCCCAGACCTGCGAGGCCTGGATGTTTTCAGTACTATGAAGTCGGGCCTGTCCCTCTCTACAGGAGGAACATCCTCAAATAGCCCAAGAATCGTATGGGGACGATTTCTTCCATTGTTGAACATGCTTGAACATTTTCTGTATTGTTCGTCCAAAATCCGCCTAGGGGGACACGCCCGACTTAACAGGGAGTCCCGACCCTTTCCCCAGGGCAGTTGTTTCACCCCGAGCCGTTTTCTGACAGTAGCGCGGCCCGGCGAAGGCCCCCCAGGGGCCCCTGAAACGCCCGAAAGTTTCCCATCCTGGTTGCTTGCCACGCCGACGCGAGCACGCCTGCGGGCTGAGGGGATTCCCTGGGACTGGGGGCGAGTTCAATTCTTGATCTCCCAGATGGGGTCCGAGTAGATAACCGCATGCCGATGATAATAAAGGGACCCCCCCCCTTCAGTGTTTAGAGTTGATTATCGTCGCCCTATACAAAATTCAAATTGGGCGGCGAGCGCTGAGGCCGAACTTCATTATCACCTCGAAACGCTATGTTGAGATAGCTCATCAAGCGATGTTGATATAGCAACATCAAGCGAAGCGATCACACTTTTTCAGGATGTGTCAAGCGAAACCAATAATTTTGGGAGGCAGACTCAAACGAAACGAGCAATGTTCTTATTATTATTCTACTTTCCTCTTCTTCTTTTCTATTTCTATCTGTCCTCACGCTCGCCTGAACCTTTTTATCCCTGGGGTTGATTATCCATGGAAAATGAAGCACATGAGCTACCCTACACGAGCACTTAAAAAATCAATTTTCATAAAGCGCTTGTAAATTAAAATTGATAGATTTGGAACTTTGGATGTTTCCTTTCTTCGTCCTCTTCTTATTATCCTCTTCTTCTTCTTTCTTATTATTCTTATACTTGTCAGATGAGGGGGCCGAAACGGTCATTCATGTCCCATGGTGGGTGCGTGCTGAAGTGAGATTTTGTTTTGGATTTTTTTTTTTCCCGCGGTGCGGACTGTGTTGTTGTTGTTGTTGTTGTTTGTTGTAGTTGTTTGTTGTTCGTAGTCCACCCGAAACCCGCCCCGCGACCCACCCGCGACCCACCCTGCGACCCAACCCGCGACCCACCCCGCGACCAACCCGGCCATCCACCCCGCGACCCACCCCTCGCCACCCCGCGACCCACCCCGCGACCCACCCGCGACCCACCCGCGACCCACCCGCGACCCACCCGCGACCCACCCCGCGACCCACCCCGCGACCCACCCCGCGACCCACCGCGACCCACCCCGCGACCCACCCCGCGACCCGCCCGCGGCCCACCCCGCGACCCACCCGCGACCCACCCGCGACCCACCCGCGACCCACCCGCGACCCACCCCGCGACCCACCCCGCGACCCACCCCGCGACCCACCTTGGACCCCAACCACGTTCAAGGTACAAACCATCATTTTCGGCGCCTGCGGCGGGCTTTTTTTGCATTCCTTCCAGGTGGAGAGCCCGCGACCCACCCCGCGATCAACTCGCGACCAACCCGCGACCCAAACCACGTTCAGGGTACAAACCACATTTTTCGGCGCCTGCGGCGGGCATCTTTTGAATCGTTCTAGGTGGAGAGACCGCGGCCCACCCGCGACCACGTTCAAGGTACAAACCAATTTTTTCGGCGCCTGCGGCGAGCATCTTTTGCATTCGTTCCCGGTGGAGAACCCGCGGCCCACCCGCGACCCAAACCACGTTCAGTGTACAATCCAATTTTTTCGGCGCCTGCGGCGGGCTGCTTTTGCAGGAGGACGAGGAGGGGGAGGAGGAGGAGGAGGAGGAGGAGGAGGAGGAGGAGGAGGAGCAGCAGGAGCAGCAGGAGAAGGAGGAGGAGCAGCAGGAGGAGGAGGAGGAGGGAGGGGACGACGACGATGACGTCGACGACGACGACGACGAAAAGGAGGAGGGTGGAGGATCGGGAGGGGGGGGCGAGGAGGAGGACGACGAGGAGGAACATGACGACAATGGGAGGACGATGATGGAAGGACGAGGGGGGGGGAGGGAGGACGAGGAAGAAGCGGAGGAGGAGGAGGAGGAGGAGGAGGAGGATGGGACGAACGAGGAGTGAGGAGGATCGGACGATGACGATGAGAACGTGGACGAGGTACGAGGAGGAGGAGGAGGGTAGGAGGCACGGAGGAGGGAGTAGGGAAGAGGAGGAGGAGGAGGAGGAGGAGGAGAAGGAGGAGGAGAGGTGAGGGAGGAGGAGGGGACGCCGGACGATGACGACGACGACGACGAATGAAAAGGAGAGCGGGAGGATCGGGAGGGGGGGAAGGAGGAGGAGGACGAGGAGGAACATGACGACATCTGGGAGGACGACGATGGAAGGACGATAATGGGGGGAGAGGGAGGACGAGGAAGAAGCGGAGCGAGGAGCGGAGGAGGAGGTGGAGGATGGAGAGGTGGAGGAGGAGGACGACGATGACGATGAGAACGAGGAGAGGACGAGGAAGAGGTGGGAGGAGTAGGAGGCGGAGGAGAGGAAGAGGAGGAGGAGGAGGAGGAGGAGGAGAAGGAGGAGGAGGAGGAGGAGAGCGCCATCGACAAGGAAGGTGGGGGTCACGAGGTCCGCAGGCTTGACGACGCCCGCGTCGCCCGCGCCCGCCCCCTCACTCTTATCCGCAATTGCGGGGTGCTAAATATTTTTCTTCTTTTATATGTCTCTCTGTCCCCACGCTCGCCTGAACTTTTTTTATCTCTGGGGTTGATTATCCATGGAAATTGAGGCACATGAGCTACCCTACACGAGCACTTACAAAAAACAATTTTCATGAGAGATAAGCCATTGTTGAGGATATTTCTATGAAAACTAAACGCCAAGGATGTCTCAAAGCGTGCTCGGCTTGGTCTCCTCTTGATCATCTCTTACTATGAGATTATGCTGAGGTCTGCTGGGCTACTTTTATTATCTCTCCCTGAACCCCGAACTTTATTATCCCCTAGTGTTTATTCTCACGGGCATGAGGTTAATTAGAATTGGAGGATCGCGCCGCGTCGCCGATGCATCGACGATGCATCGGCGACGTTTGCGCTGCATCGGCAAAGCCAGCGCGGAGAAAGTCGGGCTCCACATCGAGCCGCATCGCCCACGCATCGGCGATGCGGCGTGAGCCTTTGACCCCATCCACTCGGACCCCATCCGGGAGGCCTCTATACAGTCGGGACGCTGAGACAAGGACCGCTCCGGGGTCAGGAGGGGCTCTGGTTTTCAGGCCGCTCCTTAGGTCTAGATCGGGGAACCTCTTCTTGGCCGAGGCTCGCCGTGGCCAGAAAAGCCCCCTCGTTCCACAGTTATCCCTTGTGGCAGCACGGCCGCGGCCACTGCAAGTCCCCCCGCGAGGACGTGCTGCTCTAGATCGGGGAACCTCTTCTTGGCCGAGGCTCGCCGTGGCCAGAAAAGCCCCCTCGTTCCACAGTTATCCCTTGTGGCAGCACGGCCGCGGCCACTGCAAGTCCCCCCGCGAGGACGTGCTGCTCGGGGCTGGCAACGCCATGAGCGTCCCCGTCGTCGCCGCGGTGCTCGCCGACGTGCTGGCGAAGACAGGCTCCCGGCCTCGCGTGCGCGCACGGGCCGGGGCCGGACCCCGCGGGGTCTGGTCTGAGTCGGTCCGATCGGGGCGCACCGACCTCGGGCGTCGAGTGATGGGGGGCGCTGCAGCGGAGGCCCACGCCAAGAGACACCCTGCTCGCCTCCAGAGTGCCATGGGTTTCTCGGGTCTCGACGGTTTTGCCCTGGAAGGCGTGACGTTCCCACACCAAAAAGCAATGGACGTCCTGGGGTCTCAGGGTTGGGTTTCTTGTGGAAGGTTTCTTGTGGTCGGGCGCCTACTGCAAGTGGGACCCAAAAACTTGGCATCGCTCGGACGTGTGCATTTTTTCTCGGCGAGGGCCATCGAGGAGCATCCTTGGTCACTTGGCGAAAAAACCACGCACGAAACCTAAAAAAACACAGGAAATGGACGTCCGAGCGATGGCAAGAAAAGTGCACGAGAGGTGCACGTTTCTCCCCCCCCACGGAGCCGTCGCCGTCTGTGGATTCGCGCCCGACGACTGGTGCTGGAGTCTCGAAGGCTTCCCAGTCTGGTACAAGCCACGACGGGAGGATTTTTGCGATGGTTACAGCCCCTCCAGGGATCCCTCGCCATCGGAGCAGAGCCATCGCTGCCACAGAGAACAAAGCACCGAGATCGGAGAAGAGCCATCGCGGGCTGCTGGGAGGCCCGCGCGGATGTCTTGGGTCGGCGCTGTAGGCCATCTCCTCGGACCCCAGGCGGTGCCTGCAGCGAAACTCTCCACCGCGCCGGGAACGGGCCGTCAAAGCACGGCTCAGGGGGAGAAGGCGGTCCTGGGAAGGGGGGGTCGGGACCTCTGGAGGTCGACGCTGTGGACAGCTCACAACCAAAAAAGAACTACATCGCTGGAGACCGTGATTCCACTCAAGAGGCTCACGTACGCCATTCCGCCGACCCCCAGAAGAGGAAACATTTCCTCTGGTGAGGCCTTTTGGGGGCCTCTTAGGGACTCTGGAGGGCCTTGATGAGTTTCTGGTTGCCCCCCCCCGGGGGCTCCCCTTGGCCCCCCCTCCAATGCGAGATTGGACCCCTGGGGAGAAGAAAAGGGGGAGGAGGGCAGCCAGCAAAAATGTTTCACACGCCGTCTCATCAACGGCAATAACATATCGCGGGAGACCGTGATGCTATCCCCCTGGCGATATTGCGCGTGACCAGGGAGGGGGGAGTGAGGGGGGGGGGGCAAGGACGCTGGTCACGTCACGAGTCGCGCAAGCGCCGTTTGGGAATGTCTACTAAAGAATGGCTCCCTCCCACACGGTGCCTGCGCGCATCGTGACGTGACCATGGGGGGGACCGGGGGGGGGGGCCCATGACCACTTACGGCTTTATCGCGAATAATTTCCAAAAGGGTTTCTCGGAAAATGCTGCAGTCGGGGAAGCGTAGTTTAGACGCGCGTCCGCCAGAGCTCGGGTATGCCGACGCCTTTTTATCGGGCCCGTCCTGAATGGTGACGGTCCAGTTTTCGTGCGGTGGTTGCAGCGGTGGCTCGCGTTAAATTTCGGGCTGGGTCTCGTCACTGTGTTTTTTTGACCGCCCTGTCAGGCCAACCGGAGTCACCTGAACCCGACTCAGGCGTCTCCCCGATGCAGGGAGGCAGGAAAAAGTGGCTGGGGCCAGCCCTCCTCTGGGATCTGGGCGTCGCAGTTTAGCTTAGGTCGAGCATGTCCCCCTACAAACAGATGTTGCACGAAAAATCAAAAATAGATTCTGAAACAAAATTGTCAAACATACCAGAAAAATCATCCCCATAGGATTTTCGGACTATTTTTGAATACTCCTCCTGTCGAGGGACATGCCCGACTTAAAGTTCGGCGCGTTCAGGAAGGGCCTCGCCTTCAGAGGATCGAAGGAGTCGAATCTCTTCCGCGGTGGAAGGCGGCGGAAGCAAAACGCGGGCGGCTCCGCGGGCGCAAGCCCGCGGAAGTCAATGCTGCCTTCCCGAGGACAATTTCTTTGATCCACGGTTTCCAGAACCCGTCATTTGTTTCGGAGAGGCTGGAGAAGGTGGTTTTTGCCAGCTCTGCCACCGTTTGTGGCCCTGGCTGGTTTCCCTCCAATGTGTTTCAAGCGCCGGCGATCCCGTCCCAATCGTTTGGCCTCGTTTCAGACCTTTCCATCCAGCGCCGGCGACCTCATGCGACCTCGCCCAAGCCGTTTCGGGCTCGTGTCAGCCCCTGGCATGCCAGCATTCTTCTTCATGGAATTTCGACTTTCTCGTTTTCCAGCTTCTCTTTGTGCACGCCGGACGGTTTCGCCCAGGCTAGGGCCCATGGGATCCTCACGGATCGATCTGGCTCGAGGAGCGCCGCAGAAAGGATAGGGCCGAGAGCTTGGGTGGCCCCACGCATGCGACGTCTTGTTTTGTTCCATACGAGCCCCCGCAAGTTCCGACCCTTTCCCCGGGACCGGTTCTTCGTCCAAGGCCGTCAGGACCCCCCATCCCTGGCTGTCAGCACCCCCCGTGATCGGGGGCCCTGACGGCCCAGGACAGTTATCTAAGTTTTTTTCCCCAACCATCCTATGGTGTTGGGTCTTCGTTTTGAAGAGGCGGTCCCCCGCGCTCCTTCCTTCCTTCCTTCCTTCCTTCCTTCCTTCCTTCCTTCCTTCTTTCCTTCCCTCCTCCCCCTCCTCCCTCATCCCCCTCCTTGCCCCTGCTCTCGGCACACCTCTCACACGTTTCGTAGCCCCATAGGGAGCTCCACCGAAGGTCCCAGTGAGGGGGGGCGCGTGCGGTTCCCACACCCAGGGCAGCGTTTCGTGGCCCCATAGGCAGCTCCACCGAAGGTCCCAGTGAGGGGGGGCGCATGCGGTTCCCACACCCAGGGCAGCGCTTCGTGGCCCCATAGGCAGCTCCACCGAAGGTCCCAGTGAGGGGGGGCGCATGCGGTTCCCACACCCAGGGCAGCGCTTCTTGGTCCCATAGGGAGCTCCACCGAAGGTCCCAGTGAGGGGGGGCGCATGCGGTTCCCACACCCAGGGCAGCGTTTCGTGGCCCCATAGGGAGCTCCACCGAAGGTCCCAGTGAGGGGGGGTGCATGCGGTTCCCCCACCCAGGGCAGCGCTTCTTGGCCCCACAGGGAGCTCCACCGAAGGCCCAAGGTGGGGGTGGGCGCATGCGGTTCCCACACCCAGGGAGCTCCACCGACGGCCCCAGTGGTGGTGGGCGCATGCGGTTCCCCCACCCAGGGCAGCGCTTCGTGGCTCCATAGGCAGCTCCACCGAAGGTCCCAGTGGGGGTGGGCGCATGCGGTTCCCCCACCCAGGGCAGCGCTTCGTGGCCCAATATGGAGCTCCACCGAAGGCCCCAGTGGGAGTGGGCGCATGCGGTTCCTTACCCAGGGCAGCGCAGCGTGGCCCCATAGGGAGCTCCACCGAAGGCCTCAATCGGGGTGTTCGCGTGCGTCTCTCCCACCCAGGACAGCGCTTCGTGGCCCCATAGGGAGCTCCACCGAAGGCGCCAGAGGCGCAGTTCGCATGCGTCTCCCCCAACCATGACAGCGCTTCGAGGCCCCATAAGGAGCTCCAGCGAAGGTCCCAATGGCGCAGTTCGCATGCGTCTCCGTCGCCCAGGGCAGCGCTTCGTGGCCTCATTGGGAGCTACACCGAAGGCCCCAGTGGCGGTGTCCACATGCGTCCACATGCGTCCGCGCCACCAATTTCGGCGCACCCCTCACAAGTTTCGTGGCCCCATAGGAGCTCCACCGAAACCGGTACCCACAATGCGGTATTCGCAACTGCACATGGTTGGGTCCTTCGTCAGGCTAATTCCCAACCATCCTGTGGTGTTGGGTCTTCGTTTTGAAGAGGCGGTCCCCCGCGCTCCTTCCTTCCTGACCTTCCTTCCTTCCTTCCCTCCTCCCCCTCCTCCCTTCTCCCCCTCCTTGCCCCTGCTCTCGGCACACCTCTCACACGTTTCGTAGCCTCATAGGGAGCTCCACCGAAGGTCCCAGTGAGGGGGGGCGCATGCGGTTCCCACACCCAGGGCAGCGTTTCGTGGCCCCATAGGCAGCTCCACCGAAGGTCCCAGTGAGGGGGGGCGCATGCGGTACCCACACCCAGGGCAGCGCTTCGTGGCCCCATAGGCAGCTCCACCGACGGTCCCAGTGAGGGGGGGCGCATGCGGTTCCCACACCCAGGGCAGCGCTTCGTGGCCCCATAGGGAGCTCCACCGAAGGTCACAGTGAGGGGGGGCGCATGCGGTTCCCACACCCAGGGCATCGCTTCGTGGCCCCATAGGGAGCTCCACCGAAGGTCCCAGTGGGGGGGGCGCATGCGGTTCCCCCGCCCAGGGCAGCGTTTCCTGGCCCCACAGGGAGCTCCACCGAAGGTCACAGTGGGGGTGGGCGCATGCGGTTCCCCCACCCACTGCAGCGCTTCGTGGCCCCATAGGCAGCTTCACCGAAGGCCCCAGTGGGGGTGGGCGCATGCGGTTCCCCCACCCAGGGCAGCGCTTCCTGGCCCCATAGGGAGCTCCACCGAAGGCCCAGTGGGGGTGGGGGAACCGCGGTTCCCCCACCCAGGGCAGCGCTTCGTGGCCCCATGGGGAGCTCCACCGAAGGCACTACTACCACTACTACGACTACGACGAGTATTAGTACGATTACGACTGTTACGGCTTCGAATATTGGATCTATTTTTTTTAGTACTATTCCCACTACTACTACTACTACGACTACTACTACTACTACTACTACTACTACTACTACTACTGCTACTACTACTACTACTACTACTACTATTACTACTACTATTACTACTACTACTACTACTACTACTACTACTACTACTACTCCTGCTGCTGCTGCTGCTGCTGCTGCTGCTGCTGCTGCTACTACTACTACTACTACTACTACTACTACTACTACTAACTACTAACTACTAACTACTAACTACTACTACTACTACTACTACTACTACTACTACTACTACTACTACTACTACTACTACTACTACTACTACTACTACTACTAC